AGATCCCATATGTAGTTGAGCAGTTTGCCTGGAATGGGCCATTTATAGTCATGGAGTGCACACTAAGTGCCTGTGCAGATGTGCAGGCACACAGCTGCATGCACTACCAGGATTCTGTTGGCACATGTGTGTATGTGTGTGAGGAAAAATGCATGGAGATCCCTGTCTGCCTCACTGGGCAGAAGGCAGAACAGACAGTGAAGGCAGACACACACTTGTATGGTGGAGCGTGGCTACTGCACACCTTGTCATGCCAGTGTGAAAAAGACAGTTGCAGGTTGCTGGTTTTGCAGCCATTCATTTTATATCTTTTGGGGAGGGGGGGAAAAAAAGGATTTTTTCAGTTCCTTTTTTCCTTTTCCCCCCCAGTAAGCATCACTGGAAGAAGACCAAAGCAGAGCAACTATAAGTTAAATACACACTTGAGCTTAGCTGTATTACATAACTCTGTAGGAGAAGCAGGCTGAAAAGATTTTGTTTGTTTGTTTGTTTCTTTGTTTGTTTCACTTAAATCTCTGTATTTTATTTCTCCTTCTTTTCATCTCTTAGCTCCCATCATTTTTTCCTCCTAGGTTCCATCATCCTCTGAAGAACGCTGGGTTTCGCAGGCAGGCGGCTAGTCACCTGCAACAACCGAGGGGTCCCGCAGAAGCTTCCAGGCTGCTGTCCGTGTCAGACGCCAGGGTTTGATCCGTGGACATGGATGAGATGTCGTTGACAGATGAGGATGGAGGGAGGCTCTCACTGCTGTTCACTGCTGCACCTGTGCTACGAAAACGAACACCAACGTGATTAAACCCGAAACCCCAGAAGGTGTCACGCGTTAAAGAGCAGAGGGTGCTTACCTGGTGGTACACAGACAATTTTATCCAGTGGCAAGCCTCAGCAGGAAATGGGCCATACCAACTTTAGACATTGGATAATATTAAATATCTTACCAGGAAATTCTGTCCCTCACCAGTCTGCTTTGAAAAGTTATAGCTCATAGAGTGTTTGTCACCCCACTTCGTTCTAGCCCACTTGAAGTTCCAAAACACCCAATAGTCAGAGGCATGTCAGGATCATACAATGTGTGATCAAAACAAAAACAGACCCCACCTATTCCTCCATATTCTTCTCATAAAATTCCAGTTCTCTTAGTGGCAGTTTAATAGAGCGGGTGGGATCAAATCACCCAGTGGAAATGCCGAGTGGTTTCTTTCTCTTACTAAGGATTAGGCAACTAAGCCCAGGATTTCAGCTACGTCTGTGTTTTTGTACATCCAAGTTTACCTCACCTCTTTACCTCTCTAAAATTATGATGGTACCAGACATTATGCCAAAAATCACTTTGACTTTATGAAATGAACAATAAACCTTCCTGAGATTATCATCAATGCAACTGAACATTCATCACATCCCTGAATATTATCAGAAATTATCTGTCTCATAAATTCAGACAACTGAATGACAAATACAGAGCTATGTAAAGGATGTACTTATTGCACACCTATGACTTCTTAACTGTTACTGCTCATTAACCTCAGCTCAAACTAAAGTTTGCAGAGTAGCATAAGCCTGTTTGATTGGATTTTTTTTTTCCATTTAACTTCCAGGTGATATTTTGTTCTCTTAATACCAAAATTAGCACTGTCTTCAGTTTGAGAGGGATACATTAATTCTCATTAAATGTTCATGATAATAAAATGTATTATAATAAAATTTTGTATGATCTTGCATAGCTAGAAATTACAGCTAGGCAGGTAACAAATAAATGATCTGCAGATAGATGCCATTTTGTTCTTCTGTCTGAAAAGTGTCCTCAGCCAACTTTTACAGATTTTCATTTCCATCAAATGGCTAGAAATGAACATCTATTATCCAGTAAAACTACATAACTCATACATTCCTAATACAGAAATTAAAAGTTATCTCTACAACCTAGGCAAAGTATATGCTGCTATGGGCAAAAGAAAATGATTTTTGTCACTTTTCAGTTTGCAATAAAAACATTAATTTGAGAAAACAAGCCACCCTACCATACTTCCAACCACTATTCTATATTCCTCAGCTTTTTCTTCCCTTTATACATAACCACTGTAAATATGCACAAAACAGAGACAGATATGCTCACATTTAGAGCTCCATATGGGAACTGCTTTCTGCTGTTCTAGTTATACATTATGGCATC